CTACTCCCACATTTGGAAGGACTGCTCATGATTATCTACAATTAGAACTTCTAACCACAACTATAAACAATTTAATAACTAAAATACATTATACACATTTAACCAACTCTAAAGAATTTGGCTGGAGTCAAAATGCCAACAGTATACATTTGGTATGTCATTATTTTATTTACCCAAATTGATGTTGGGGTATGATTCAAGTTAAGGGGATAAGGCTGAGTCTTGTCACTAGAGGGGGAAAAAAGTGAAAAAACAAATAAAAAACAGTTTGGGGATATCTCCTTAACTCAGATCAGGATGCAGGTAGGCATGCTTGATCCTCATTGGCAATAACTATTTTCCTTATGTTCACAATTGGTTGTGCTTTCATTTCCAGGTTTTCATATCTACTATGCTTTTGTTTCTAAAAAGGATTTGTGATAGATGTCTAAGCGGCCTGCCTGGACTTTATTTGATTCTAATTGTTAGAGAGGTCCATGGACATTTCTAAAGCTAATGCTGCTGAAAATACTAATTAAAACCTACATACATATATAGGTAGATATATGTATGTATGTACATTTAAATACTTCCCAGGAATTTCAACTAAACCTTCAGGTCCACACATTTTTAAACCCACATCAAAGAAACATCTGGAAGTAGATAGTAATTAACAGAGATCCAGACTGAACAGCATTCAAGCACAAGACCTGTGTAAGATCAAGCAAGAGATAAAATTCCAGCACAGAGGAGGGGAGGTGTGCAAAATGACCCACCCCTAGCCAAGATGCTATTTCTAAATGATATCTGCTGGGAAAGGAAAAATCAGTTTTCTCCAACAGAGTTACACTGGGATTATTAAACACACTTCAGGGTAAGCCCTATGTCCAGGAGTATACTGACAGGACACTGTGTGTTTGTGTCTGCTTTTTTTGGTTTTGTTTTTGTTTGGGGATTGATTTTCATAGGAGAAAGAAGGAACATGAAGTTGTTGGGGTAGGGTAGTAGGGAAGACCTTGGAGAGGGGAAAGAATATGATCAAAATATATTGTATGGAATTCACAAAGAATAAATAAAAACACTAAAAAAAAACTACTTCCCAAATTTGGAGCTTTTGAAATAAATCTGATGGAAATGCCACATAATTTAAAAAATACAAATGTCGATCACTCCTGTGAAGTGAACTTCAAGATTTAAAAGAAATAAACCAAAACTGAAGTTTATCAGTGAGAAAATTAATTGTTCATCTGTCTTCAACAAGCCCATTTCCTGCTGTCTTTCTCATGGTATCTTTGTGAAATTATCTCATGCTTTTAAGTCTTCTGTCTGTACACTTCATGGTTCCATCCCTGTAAATATGAATAGAATTCCCTCCACATTGACTACTGGATATTAAATTGTGCTATTTTTTGAACAAATGACTTTAGAAATACAGAATTCTATCAAAATCATCAGACTTTTGTTTATGGCATTTAGCAATAATTTAGGAGCATTTGTCATCTGTAAGGACCAGGTAGAAACAAAATAAATTAGTACTAGAAGTTGGAAACAAAATATAAATAATCATTGCAGATCTGAGGGGAAGAATTTTTAAAATTATTTCTCTAATCTTTGGCTAATATGTTATTTCTTGTGATTTAAATCAAACTTCACTGTATGCATGTTTTAAATTCTCTGAGAATAAATAACTGTTGTTTTATTAAAAATTCAACAAATAAGTACAACTGTGAATGCTGCCAAATGCTATAAAGGTGTCAAAATGGGATGAAAAGATGTGCTAACAAATAGATTTTTAAAGAAAGGATGACTGGTATCTATTAAAAGCTTCAAACAGTATCAGGCTCTGGTACAAGAGACTCTTATTTCCCATGTTTTACAATGAAGGGATGTATTTGTGTAGTTCTTTTACTGGAAGGGTAAATGCAGAATTGTTCTCATGCCATTGTTCCTAAGAAACGGGGCTTCCCCTCCAGCCTGCTCTATTTATCTTGGAACCACCAACAGGAATACAAATGTGTGTGTGGAGAAAGAGTTGCCAATATTGGTCATTGTTCACAGGGTAACATTCCTGTAGTTTTAATTGTGTTGCTTACATGTCCAAGCAGGAGCCTTGGTGTATTTCAGTGCCACTATCTACACATATCCAGTTCTTATAGGAATATTTATTGAGTGTCAGGAGATGGCAAACCCAGGTTCAGGCATTAAGGAGTTCATAGACTAGTAATGAAAGCAGGCAACTCCATCATTGTGATACTGCATGATGAAGCTTGGGATAGACAAGGAATGACTTGGAGAGTCAGAAAAGATTTAACAGAGAACACAAAGTCTCAGCTGAACCTGTAACAACGTCAGCCAAGAAAGGCACAGACTGCTGCTCAAAGTACTTCTAGACGTTCTAGGACAGAACACACTGCATCAGTGTGGGGCTTGCAACTTTCCTGCTGCGTGTAAAGATATCCCCGCTGTGAGAGATGTGGCATCAAAGCATAACTCTTGCTTAAACCATTGATGCCCTTTGTTCTACTTCTTCGAATGGCATGGCTTTAACAAGTGAACACCCTGTGACCCTGACATTTTGGGGATTTGCAAAAACGTCTCTATTTCCTTACCAAGTCTCCAATGAAACACAGGTGCTGTGTTCTTTTTTGTGTAGAACTTGCGTGGATCTGAAAGGGAGAAATGATGAGTGGCCTTCCCTACAACAGCATTTTAAGTTTTGGAAAGACTGTTTCATTTAGATGTATGACACAAAAGCTTCCCCTTCTTCCTAAGTCTGTATTTCATCTTGAGGCTCTATTGTCCTTTTGTCTTCCTCCTTTACATTCTGTTCTGTGTTATTTCACTTCCAGATCACAGGCTGACTGTGTTAGAAGGTTCCAACTTAAGGAATTTTTTTATGTACTTTTTAAATTTTATACATTTCTATATTGTATGTTATTCATATTCTCCTTCATACACTCCTTAAGGGGAGTGTGTGTGTGTGTGTGTGTGTGTGTGTGTGTGTGTGTGTGTATGTGTGTGTGTGTGTATGCAAGTTTGGATATTCATGTTTGATGGATGGATATAAGAGGCAGAGACAGATGATGCCTTCCTCAGTCCTTCTCCACTCACTGTTCTTTCCTTTCTTTCTCTTTCCTTTTTCTTTTTCTTTTGAGACATGATCTTTCTCACTAAATTTGGATTTTACCATTCACATAGGCTTGCTGGCTGGACAGCTCCAGAGACAAATCCATCTTTCCACATCCAGACCTGGGGTCATAGATGTACATCACTGTGTTGAGTTCATTATATGGGAGCTGAAGGTCTTCATGCTTACAAAGCAGGCACTGGCCATGGAGCCATCTCCCCAGCCCTTCAAGACATCTTTCTATTGTTAACTACAACCAGACTTTGGAATGAGTGGTTGATGATGATGCTGCTGATGATAATGATTAATTACTTTAACCTGATTGTGTTATTTTCTGAATCACGAAACCTGATACATCATGATGGATGCCGGGTTATATTATCTACTTTTTCAGCGGCATCCGTGCAGCTTCTACATAAATTGCAAATGAATGTTTTCTTTTCCTAACCTCTTCTGGAGGACGTGAAAAATACATTAAGATTCCAAGTGTCACGAAGTATTCTAGGAATGAAATATTAGATGGCTAGAAGAGAAATACAACTTTTATAAGGGAAATCATGACGCATGCAATATCAACTCCTCTAACACTCTCACCAGTCTTACAACACAAAAATAACGGAGTTCAACAACATCTGTTTCCACCTCAAGATTAATGCTGGAAGTGAAAGTATAATGCAAAAGGTCAGTTCGAGGTAGGCAAAGCAGAGTTTTCTGGAAATATATTTGTTTGAATACTTGTATTTGCCCTGCAAGGCTGGGCAGTGTCCCTTGGTTAATCTTTGGATAATTTTGGCAGGTGTCATCTGAAGTATATGAGTGATCTAGATTTTGACTCCACAGATTGAGAAAGATGAACTTTCCCACAAAACATCCATTTCATGGATGTGATGCTGACTGATTACCATTCTATTCTGTTTCCTAAGGCCTAAATATACTGTGCAACCAAAAAGCTGAATTTCACTCATGTGCTCATTTTTTTAATTTTTTGTTCTGTTTTTTTTTAATATCTTCTTAGACCTCAAGTGACATAGACATTGATGATAATTTCTTGTGTGATATGAATATCTACTTTCTTTTATTATAATGTGTATCAACCAATTGTTTGGGGTATTCCACAAGAGCCTCTTCAATTCCACTGAGGATTCAGAGTCAATAAAATGGGAGAGTCATTACTGTTATATGTTGCCTTTCAATATTAACATATTTCATCTCCCATCACTCTCATATTTCATCACTCAAGATTCTTCCAGAATGTTTCCATGCGTATGTCTTCATGAAACATGCAGAGAAAGGCGGAGCTAAGAGGGGACTGAGTCTTTTTAGCATCTCTTCACTTTTCATGAGGGTAAGGTTTTCAGGGCACTAGACATAAAGAAGACTTAGGTGACCTTTGAATGACTCAGTAAACGACGTCTCTGAAGTTCTCATCACTTCAGCAAAGGCCTATCTCACACCTCAGCTCACTTGTTAATTCTTATTTGTATACTTTACCTAATCCTCATTTTCTTCCAACAAACTGTTAGCTTTGGTAGTGACTCTATTAGCTCCATTACTCCAGCTTCCTCAGGCTAGACTTCAGGTTCCACAATGAGGCAGATTAGTAACCAGAATAATCAAGTTGACTAAAAACCGATGCAGGCACTTGTGTTCACACAACTGAAATGTGAAGTTTTAAAGTCTGTCTTTGGCATCCTAGAAGGTCTGTCTGCCTGTCTTCTGAAGGGCTGAGGGTGTCAGCAGGAAGTGAAAACATACTTTTCGCATCAACTTTTCTTAACCAGATTCTTTATGAACTATGTGAGATGTTCATGCAACCAGAAGAGAAATTTTCTCAGAAATTACAAGGAAGGGATGAAAAAAAAGAGGAAAAGAAGGTTGAGACCACCAAAAGGACAAATGTTCTGCTTTCAAATTTATTTTCTACAGATAAAGAGGTCTTCAAACACTTTCATTGACTTTTATTCTAGAAATTTGGAGAGTGCATGCAGTCCTTCAATCAAGGTGATTTCATAAGTGACAAGATAAATGGTATACAAATTTGTGTATTATCTATCTGTAATGTTAACACTTTAAACAATGAGACATCATTCATATCTACAAGGCAACAAACAATTATTTCCTCACAGTCAGTAATAAGAAAATTAATTAATAGGCAACTCTAGGAAGTAAACACAGAAGCAATAAGGACAGTGTCGGCTGCACCCCTGAAGTTGACTACAGCTGCAGGGACATTGCACACAGACAATGGCATCATAATGTCTCCTTCTTTCTGCACCCATTCATTTGAAACTAATAATTAAAAGATTATGGCACTCTGTCTCCTCCCACCATAAGATAGAAAGTCTTGCTGGCTCCACCCTGATGTGCTGGGCTTCCCACAACACTGAGTCATCCACAGAATTCAGGACACAGAATCTGCCAAAGGAGAAGTTTCAAAGGAGTTTCTTGTAAGCCTACTATAAGGACTTGTTCTGAATTCAAGTTAAATATTAGAGAAGTCTATCACCGTCTTTTGTCTGTTTTATTCAACTAAGATGCAGAGAAGGTTGGGAAGTTTCTAGAGATGAGGACATGGATAGACTCTCAGGGACAATCTATACAAGAACATTGGGAATTACAGTAATATTTCTTCAATGCTATCAAACTTGCAAATAAAGTACAGCAAAAGTACAAACATTTAAATGTGATTTTTATTCTAAATAAATGATGACTATCAGAGTAGATATATTGAATTTGATCAAACAGTACACAAGGCACATATGCACTGAAACAACATATAACATTCCTGTGGGTAATGTTTGATATTTACACTAGTAAAAATAAATGTAATTTAATATATAGGTGGTATATGATATGCAGAGACATGATAGATAGATAGATAGATAGCAGACAGGCAGACAGACAGAGCTAGATGGCAGATAAATGAATGACTTATAAAGAGAGAGATAATACGTAGATTGATAGATGTTAGATAAGCAGATATGTGTTAAAAAATTAATAGATTGATATACAATGCATGGGTTATTGATAGGTCAAAGATTTCCAGATATAAACATGCATTCATACATATGTACATCCAGAAAGAGAAAACAGAGAGATGCTAGAAAGTTGAAAAGGTTAGTCAATGTGCATGAGATCAATTTTGAAACATGGTGTCTGCATAAGGTGCCTGGCTGTTTTTAAATCTATGCCTTATACTGTAGAGAACACCTATGTTCTCCTCAGCATAGCAAGTCTAAAGTCTGTGCCACTCTTGAGCTTAACCATCTTATTACATACTCACAGAGGAACACTGATATCAGAGTCTTTTCATCCATTCATTGGTCTCAGATTTTCGGTTCTAGGAATTATTCTTTAGTTCAGAATATTCAATTTACTCTCCAGTATTCTCCGAGGCTAGAGTTTACTCAGATGCAAATTTTCAATTACAAACCAACTTTATTTCCATTTAGATTGCTCCTGGTCTCTGCCAAAATGCCTAAAATTTCAGGTACAGTGATTTGTGTAGCAAAGAGTATCTTTTTTATGTCAATTCAGTTTCATTCCTGTGTTTTATAAAACATCACTATGGAAAAAATTTAAATAAACATATTTAATTTAATTCTTTTCACTATCATGAAAGCCTTAATGTGCAGAAAGGGCATCCTTAGAGAGGTTTTATTTAAATTGGTGGATAAACAAGACTCTTCTAATAAGCAAAATATGAAAGATATATAAATCCAAAGAATAATATTTTAAAATTTAAAATTATGTGGCAATACAATCATCTATTCCATTAGGATCCTGCATGTTTATTTTTAGTATTTATTCTATTTGTGTACATGCAAACATGTGGGGGGGGCGGTGTGTACACATCACATATGGAAAGGTTTCCCCAGAGGCCAAAAGAGGGTATCGAATTCTTTAGAGTTCAAGTTACAGGCAATTGTGAAGCACATGACATGAGTGCTGAAAGCTGAGAACTGATTCTCTGACAGAGCCAACCATGCTCTTAATTCCTGCCCCAACTCTCAGATAGCTCCATTACCCCTTTTTTTCCTCATTTACACTACTGTACCTCTCTATCGGCTGTAAAAAAATAATAATAATAATAATTTTTCTGTGAATTCTTATCCTTCTGACTTGCTCCTTTCTTGGTCTCTTAATAACTCAACCACTGATGCATCCTGTATTGTAAACACTGTCAATCTGTTCTGCCCACCAAGGACTTGTTTTCCTTCCGATGGAGCATTTGGCCAAATGTTCACCGTATGGAACTCAATTTATGCATTGATCCTATGCCTTGTATTATTATTATTAATTGTTATTATTATTATGGTTTGGTTTAAAGTCATTCTCTCTTTTCTGAACACTAAGAATTTTTATGCAAAATATATATTATATGATGTAGAATATTTATTCTTCCAAAATGCTCAAGTTTGCTCCTTCCATCTTTTCCACAGTAGCTAATTTTAATTTTTTGTAGGTTTGAGGTAGAAAAACAATCTACCTTTTCTTACACAGATAACAAACTTTCATTCAGTACCACTGGAAGAGTTGTGACTCATTTTACTTTTAATCTGCCAAAGGATCTTACTAAGTCCTTGACATAAATCCAATCTTAACTGAGTTAACTTTACTTTTGTGAAATTATTTGGCCTAATAATTGTAGAAATGGTTCATGGGTCATTAATGGACCATGTGAAGGCAAAGCCTCACCTCCTGTTCAGACAATAGCAATGAGCTACTGTTATCGAAATCCTAGCTGACAGACAACTTTAGGGTTTGCATCCTAGTTTAGTTTCCCTTAAAGTCACAGGAGTTATGGAGGACATACAAATTCATCAGAGTTAGTTTTCCTAGAGTACCTTTTGTGGTGACGGGGAGACTTCGCTGAATTCATCTTACTTACATTTTCTCTCTAAGTTAGATTGCTCCAGAACATTTCAAAACACTTATTAAGAGTACACAGAACTGATTTAATTATAGTGTTCCTGGCACTCTGAAAGTAGACCTTCCCGAGTTTCAGCATGGTGTATACAAACAATTGAAAAATATTTTAGGAAAATATATCTAAGGAAATTTAACATAAAATCTCAAGATGGAAATTTTAAGGCTTAAATGATGATGCCACTTGTATTTTTGAAGATGAATTTACAGACAATGGAGACATGATGAGTGTTGAAAACATTCTTCAATTAATTTTGTTTGTTTGTTTGTTTGTTTGTTTTGCAAAGAAAGACAGTGGCAAATAGGATACATTGTGAGTTTGCAATGAACTTCCTCCTTGGCCACATGGCAGAGGGCGTGCTGGAGGAAGGGAACAGCACCATCTTTTCCTCTCTGGTAGCCTGTAGCCATTTCAGTACTTACTCCTTTGGAACGGTGCTCAACTGTGGTACACTGTGTCCTGAACTTTATCTGTTCACTGCTGAAATTTATGAAAAGTATAGTTCAGGGATAGGAAAAAGCAGAATTCAGAGCTGACTACTCAAAACTGCATTTAAAAAATATGTATACGATATGTAGGAAATAAGTATATAAAATCTAGTTTTATACTTTACATCAATATATATGTTGAATCATATTTTATATACTTACTTAACAGAACATATGTCTGCAAATAAGGCAGCCATATCAGAATGTTCATTCTTTGCTCACAGAGATTTGGGTAACTCAATTTGTTTTTATGTTAGAACTATTGGCTTGTCCAAATTTTATTCAGTGATTTATTTTTTGTATGAACATACCATGGGAAAATTATGTTTTGGAGATAAGAATGTAAGAAATAAGACATTTTTCTTTGAATAGTCAGATTTTAGTACAAGCCTAAGGTCAAAGGATCTTCTACCTCTATTCCAGAGAAGAAACAAACACACTAGCTACCGTTAACTCTGTGTAGGTGCCTCTGCCCCCTTCTGTCCGTTTTCTGTAAGGATCCAATGATTCTCAGCCTTTTGTTTCGTGGGTCTCCTGAACAATTTTGAAATTACAAACTTGTCCGCTGTATCCTTAGAGACTCTGAGGCTCTGGAGAAAAACAGAGAATACTCAGAAACACAGACAAAGTTAAGATACACGTTGTTTATGTTTGTTTTATCAATGTAATATAATCAGAATAAAACTAAGGGCTTCATCCTTCGGAACACAAACAGAAATGAATAAATCTTCTAGCTTTAAGAAATTTCTACTAGGGAGCCTTCAAGATGACTCAGCAGGTAAAGACAACTGTCTCCAGGTCTGACCTGAGCTCCATCCCTGGGGCACAAACAGTGGAAGGAAAAAAAAAAAAACTTCTACGTGTTGTCCTCTGACCTCCAGGAGTGCTATAGTGCACACACTTACTATATAACATACTTAATATACCATTTAAAAAGCTGAATCAACAGTCTTAATTTAGGAAATAAATAGAAATAAAAGGAAAAGGAACAAAATTATTCTGAAACAAATCTAATTTTGCCATTTTACCCTTTGGTGGATCCAGTTCCATGAAGTTCTTCATAATCAAGGGTCACTGTTCTGCTGAAGGCTTCATTATACCCTGAGATACAGGTGTGACATGTTGGCATATGAAAACGTAGCCTTTAAGTTGATTTCACTTCAAAGTTTTAAATCTGTTTTGAAGCTCTATGGTAATTGTTTTAAAAATTAGGTCATCTATCGGATAAATGATTCAAAAATTTATTGATTTACAAAATGAACAGAAATATGTTGCTTTCAAATATAACCCTGCATTGTGCCAGGTATCAAGTTCATATACCATCTGCAGAGTGTTTGGAGTGATGGGCAGAATTTCCTGCACCTTTCCCCAGACAGACATATAGGGTTGTCTTTGCCTTACCAGCGACTGATGATGCATTTTCCTGCAAAAAATAAATAAATAAATAAACCTTGAGGATCAAGTGAGATTCATCATGCAAAAAAGCCCATAAAATGAGGAAGGCCTAATGCAGGGAACTGGCACCAAGACATCTTACTCCTACTGAATTTTAGTAACTGGGTTGGCTTTCAGCTTCCTTTCCTTTCACGGACAATTAAGTTTTAACCAAGTACATAGTGGAAATGTCAATACTGGGTGTGTTGTAACTGGAAGAGTCACTAGTGCTGCCTGTGATTAACTTCTTGTACAATGGACTTCAGAATAGATATTTGATCTAAAAAGTGATAATATCTCCAATGCACCATTTACTGTGGATTAACTAACAATCTGTTTACACTCAAGCATGTCAATTGAGAAAACGAGGTTTTAAGAGACAGAAAAAAAATGTGGCTCTTTTTTTCCTGTCCAAGAATATGAGACTATTTACATATATTAGTATAATACCTATGGCGAGAAAGGTTTTTTTGTTTGTTTGTTTGTTTGTTTATAACTTGACCACCATAGTCAGCTGCTTTTGTTTCTCAAGATAGGTGCGTATCATAAAATCTGATACATTCAGAATGACAGGCTGGGAGGACTTTCAGAAGTTCAATGCAGAGGGCTAACTGCAGAAGGAGTCTCATGTGGATCCCATTAGCTGTATGACCTGTAGACAGGGGCTCCTGCTGGCTCTGCAATTCTCTGAAGAACAGGGGGCAGCTGGGACAATATAGATAACTGGTACAGACCTTCAGGGAGGAACTAACCAGATGGAGAGAATCTGAAGGGGCATCAATGCTTTCTCCCATGTATGGCAAAATGACCAGTGGTAGCAAATATGGGCAGCCATTACCACCCTGGGACCTAAAGTCCTAAAATATTGGTGAAATTATTAAGGCCACTCCATGTAGTTAAAAGGGAGGTTTATCTAGTGGTGTAACTTACAAATGAAGGGATAGGTAGGTTGTAGGGTCTGGGGAAGACGTAGCGCAGTCCAGCGGTGTTCTCTGGAGAACTCTGCTCAGTCTACCTCTAGTGTCCAGGGTCCAGGAACCAAGAGAGCCCATGCATCCAGATCTCGGGTCTTCAGGGCCCTCTCTTGGCCCCGCCTTGTAGGCATGATAGTTACCGAAGCCTCAGTGGGGGTTGGAACTTCCAGATCAAAGCTGGAATGGCTACCCACTACACTAAAACCTTACAGACTTATCAAAGTAAATATTTCTCTCACTGGTGCTCTATCTCCAGAGGACTAAAACTATGGCATAGCAGTCAAGAGGGAATCAGATATCTGTGTCTCTTGTTTCACCTGTATCTTTGGACACTCTCCATTGGGATGCCGAACATCTCAAAGCTTGAAGAGTTCAGCCTGAGAAGTCAGTGTCATTGACCAGAAATTACACAAGAGAGTGTGGATCATTAACTCATACACATAGAGGTAAGACAGCAGAAAACACAGTATACCCATATTCATACCTATTCAAAGCTATCAGTAAAGGTCTGCCTGAACCTTTGTAGACTTCTGTGAACTCATGGTCTGTACACTTCTTCCCCCTTCACTCTTCTAATCCCATCTACTTATTTCCTTGCTCTTCATTTCTTCTTCTCTCTCTTTTCTCCTTTACTTCATCTGTTTTTCTTGTTGTTGTCTTTCCTCATCTGTTTTTCCTTCTCACCTATCTCTTACTCTCTCTAGAATCCTAGTTGACCAATTGGAATCAGGATTCCCCTCTTCTGGCTAGGTGTGTTAAGCAGATGAGGACACATGCACTATGGATCAGGGATGCTGCTTGCTGAATGTGGTCTAAGAGCTCAATTTTACAATTAAATGGCATAAGAAAATGCACAACTCAATGTGCAAAATTTCATACTAAAGCACCAAGGTACTTTTTTCTAATTCAGAGTAAGAGTTTGACTACATTATTCTTGATGAAAAAATATTTTGTGAACAAAACAGCCAAAGACAAAGGCATGCTGTTCAATTAATTAACCAAGGCTGTATTTCAGATAGAAATTCATATAGAAAGTCACTTTATGATCTGCATATTGGTGATTTTATAAGTGGTTGTATTTAAAGAGTCCATAAGCCTAAGACTGACCTCTCCTGCTCTGTGAAGACTGAAATAATAAGATTTTTATAATTGGAGGAGAAAAATGAGCTGAGAAGTTAGCTCCGTTGGTAGAGTACATGCCTAGTATATACAAAGTCCTCAGTCCCATCCCGAAAACCCCATAAACCAGACAAGTTGGTGACATTTCTAACCTTGCAGTAAAGAGATAGTGCCTAGAGTGTCAGGATGTCAACATTAGTTTCAGCTACATAGTGAGTTGCATACCAGCCTGAGCAACAGGAAATCCTTCCTCAGCAAAGTGAACATACAGTTCTGTTACCATGCCAACTTGTTTCAATACTTTCTATTTTTTTCTTCTACTTTCTGAAAAGCTACTGTTCTTCAGAAGGTACGAGAGAGAACTAACTGTATGTGTGGACTAGTAGAGCTGGCTACATGAACCAACTCTACTCCATAAGCATGTATGAAGTGAGCCTCTCTCCAAGGCACCTCTTTGGCTTCCTCACTGATCCATGTAAATGGTCCCGAGGGCTTGTTTTAGTTCTGGTCTTGTGACTCACAGGCTGAGCATGAAATTCTTCTTGCTCTGCTCCTGTCTTTGCTGTTTATAGTACTGCATTGAGCACCTCTCCTGTTCACCGTCTGTGCTAGCGCCAACAATCCTATACTCTTCCTTATCTGTTCTTGGATGACACATGGATTATCTCTTGTGTCTGCTGCATTTACCAGTGTGCCTTGGCACCTTTGAATTCCAGCAAATGAAGTAAGCTTGAACTTATATGACTCTGAGAATAGAGTTGCCTTAAATTCTCTATTACCAAGACTGGGTCACAATCCAGTACATTCATAAGCCAGGCTGATCTGGGTATTGTTGAAGAATCAAATCCCACTTCCCTTTACAATCCTTGCCTTCCATTCAGTCTCCATTTCTTTCCATTAAACCACATGCAGAAAGACACATGCTCAAATAAATGAACATTGTTTTTGCTTAAATTTTTATTTAACTGCCACTGTATCATTCAGAAAAATAATACTTTATAGTAGTAATGTGCTAAGTGATGAGATGTCTCAGTGAGTTTCCTTATAGCTTCACAGAAATGTTCCTTAATTTGGCACTCAAGAGTTTTAACTGAAAACTTTAAAACATTTTTTTGATTTAAAAAATAAGTCTAAGTAAAATCATTTGGAATAACTTAAAACATTTCTGGAATAAGAATGACACAAATAGGCATTTTTTAAAAATAACTCTCTCAGCCACCTGAATATGACCTCAACTATCCTATTTTTTTCCCTCCTCACATTTATGGCTTCTATCAATGTTTCCTGGATTTTCCTCTTCCTGTAAACATAAGCTGCCAGACCATTTAAGGAAGTTACACAGAGCTTACTCCCCAAGATCCCAATTTTCAGAAGAAAAAGCAAATCCTTTGCCCTACTTCATTCCTGTCCCCCACCCCCACACCACTCCACACCTCATACCAAATCCAAATAGCTCTAGAGACAGGACAAACTCACTGTAATAAGTAAACACTTCACAGGATGTCTCACATAGCAACAGTCTCCAGGCATCAGAGGCATGAGTCATGCAGAGCATGTGGATGGCTGCTTCTCTCCAGGGTTTACCAAGCTCTGACTCAAGGGCGGAGTCCAACTGCAGAGACATTTCACAGGGCTCAGCACACTGGTGATGTCAGCTGATCCAGTTACAGTCAGGGGATCAGCGGGATTCAAACAAGAAGAGTGTTCATTCAGAGTTCCAGTCAGAGATTCCAGGGACCCTGCCAAGTAAATGGTGGTGGCACGGAAAATAGGCACTGGTAGTAGAAAGTACTGGAAGTCCAGTTTAGCTATGGCCCTGGGAGCAAACAGATCTCTGTGTGATTTGTCACTTCAGGGTAGTATGTCCAGCATTAGACTAGGTTTCACTGATAGCTTCGGTTTCTCAGTTGACTTTCATCTGTTAAGGGATCTGCTGGAGGAAAGGGTCTATTTTTACTTATCATTACTTCTCCGTCTGTTTTGCTATTTTCTATAAACAGAGTTAACGTCCTGCGCATGAGCCTGTTTTAATCAGTGAACTAGGCAGAGCCAAAGAGTAACAAGATAATGAACATTCTGTTTCACAAGCAGAGCTTGCAATTGCTGAAGGATCTTCAAGTGATTCAAAGGATGACGGTTTTAAAAGAATAACCCTGAAAGAGCATTTCATTCACCCTGATGAATTTGTATATATATCCTTGATTATTTTAAGCTCCTGGGGAAAATAATGTTCTCGTGAAATCCTTACCATAGACACTTTCCTTTGCTCTGTTCTCTTTCTATATGATTTAAAAGCAATTTAAGAATAAAAGCCCACGACAATGTTGAACACACACTGATTACACATTCGTGAATAAAATCCTTGTATTATCCGTTCTTTAAGTTGCTCATACAAAAACCCAGAAGAAAAGTGTCTCTAACTAAAAACATTGTTGAAAGGACAATACAAAGTCATGTGAAAAGTATATAAAAATTGCTCAAATGTGACAAATTGTACTAGGATGAAAGTGAAGTGACTTTTGCAGAAATGCCATCACCACCATATAAATAAATGAGCACCTAAGACTCTGCTGATTCAGCAGCTCACTAACAAATGAGTGTGTAATGTGTGGCTTATGAATTTTGTTATGAACGTAAATGAATATTATTCTCTCCTATGGAAATTAATTCCTGTGTCTAGAAATGTCAGCATCTACCCTTCAGTAGTAAAGCCTCTATTTCCATTTCACAACTTTATTGTTGTGTCTCAGTCATCTTTGATAGTTTATTTTTATTTTAAAAATTTAGCTTACACGGTAACAGGATTGTACGTGGGAACTTCGTAAGTATCTCATTTAGGTTTTATCTCCCACCGACACTCCTCTCACATCTCCCTGTCCTCCCTTTCTGATCTACAAACTGATATCTGCACAAGTAACACACTGTCTTCAATATTCTACCTCTGAAGTCAGTCATTAAAGCAATTTAACCACTTTAAAATTCAATGCAATTTTCATCAAAATACCACCAGGAATTTTTGGTAGATATATTCATCTAATAGCAAACTATAAGTGAAAAAATAGAAGGAACCAGAATTGCAAGATAAATTTAAATAATAATTTGACATTCTGCTGTACTTTATTTAAATAAAAATACATCATGAAATTGATCATTTTAAAGTTTACATTTCTATGCTTTTCAGTACATATAATAGACCTGTGCATTCATAACAACTATAAATATTTGAATATTTAGATTACACAAAGGGATCTCATAGCTACTAACAGTAACCCCTTTCCATTATTTTCTCTAAAACTCTAGCTAATTAATCTACTTTTGCTTATGGGCATACCACTTGTGGCTATTTATATTAAGCATCTTTCTCTTTGTAAAAAGCATTTATTAAATTTTATTTGTTGATCCAATCTCTTCATTCCATTAGATCACCCACATCCTTCTCCAGGATCTAACACAGTTCAGCTCCCTGACCCTCTCCATCCAGGCAACCTTACCAAGCCCCAGATCTAGCCGGATTTCACATCCACTTTCCAGACCTAGTCTGCCACCCTTCCACCACCTACAACCTGCGCTACAGCTAAGCTCTAGGCTTCCAACAGGATTCAGGCTGCCTGCCCCACAACCCACAGGTCCCTCCTACAACACACCCAACCTTGAGGAAAATAAATACTTGAGAAATGCCCAAGGAAACCGAAACGTAAGGTTCACCGAAAGCAGGAAAACAATCCAGGACTTGAGTATATGTATATAGTTTAAATGAAATTTTCTTGTCTGAGCTGACAGTGCTCTCTACGAAGGGCCAAAGACCATCAAATAGAAATCCTAGCATCAGGCATTAGAAGCCCTCTTTTGAACTGTTTTTCAGTGTTGTCCAGGAGATTCCCAAAACATTACAGGCTATTGCTTTACCCCTTGGTTGTACCCCACTCCCACTCCAGAGGTGGGTAAGGCTTTTTTGCTGAAAGCACCAGGCACTTCAGAAACAGGGCCCAGAAGCCCCTAAGCTAAACTGATTTTAATCACTTCTCAGTGAGAATTAGCTTCCATGGTGCCAGAAGGTGCCTTGCAAGTTCCAAAGGACGGAGCAGACCATCCAATAATCCTACTGAGCTATGAAGTTTAAGTACAACAACAATGACTTGCATGTCATGATAACCCCAATGATGTAAGAGTGGCATGCATATCTTGGTGATAACTAACAGCTCTCTTATTGGACTTAGGACCAGCTCAATAAGAGGGAAATCATACCTGGTACTGGAAACCTATCAAGTAACCAGGGATTCTGAAGTCATAGCTATCGAAGAAGAACCTACAATTGCCACTTTAATAAACCAACATAATTCTTAACTACATTCTAATATTTGCATTTATACCCGTAGATAAATGAAGTTCTCATCTCTCATGAAGCAAATTACTCTTTGAAAAAGAGACAATCACAGAAAAACAACAAGGAATCAAAATACAGAGTTCACTCAGTCCCAATAGATACATCTACAAAACAACACCCACACCAAAGGCTCGAGGAACGCTGCAGAAGGAGGTGAAAGATTACAAAAGCCAGAGGACCAGGAAATTTCCTGTGAAATTTTTATCTCCTAGGAAAGTCAGAAGCTATACCCGCAAAGTTTCACTGACATAGCTGCCTAAACATGAGCTGACAAAGAACAACAAAAATAGAAAGGTCAAAGTGGATGGGGGAAAGACCAGGAAGCCTCAACTCTACAAAAAAAAAAAAAAAAAAAGCTTGAGGATGAGAGTGAGAGAAATGGTCTTCTCCAAGGAAGAACTCACCACTTTGTTATCCAGCACCAAATGGTCATCACTAAAAACATACATACAAATATTCATACATATGTGTGTGTGTGTATGTTCATATGTGTATATGTAACAACAACTAAAGAAAAAGATACCATAAATTTGGGCCAGAATAAGGAGGATGTGGTGGTTTGAATAGGAATGCCCCCCATTGGCTCAATGTTTGAACACTTGGTCATTAGGACATGGCTCTACTTGATAGGGATTAGGAGGTGTGGCCTTGTTGGAGGAAATGTGACACAGAAGATGGGCTTCGGGGTTTCAAAATCTCAATCAAGGCCCAGTGTCACTCTCTCTGCTGCCTGCTAAAATGTAGAACTCCCAGCTACCTCCCCAACATCATGTCTACCTGCGTGCCACCATGCTTCTCACCATGATGATGATGGACTAAACCTCTGAATGTGTAACAAGCCTCATTTAAATGATTTCTTTTATAAGAGTTGCATGATCATGCCCTCTCTTCACAGGAAGAGAACATTGACAAAGACAGACAGGTATACGGGAGGGTTTGGAGGGACAACAAAAGGGAAGAAGGAAATGATGTAATCACAAGTAAAAGGAAAATATTAAATTATTCATTTTGTTTTAGTTTATGGTTTTCCTGCATATATTTATATGTACCATGTACATGGCTGGTACTTGGAGGTCAGAAGAGGTTGTCAGACCCACTGGAATTGGAATTTTAGATGATTGTGAGCCACCATGTTAGTTTGGAGAACCAAATCCTGATCCTCTGCAAAAGCAAAAAGTGATCTTAAGCACAGCCATTTTACAAAGCTTTTTAAGATCATGTTTTAACATATGCAAGAGTTTCGCTTACTTTTATGGGTTTATGATATCACATGGATGCGATGTAAAGTTTAGTTCACTAATCTATCAATTGATAGACTTGGAAGTTTCCCCATTATGACTATTATGAAAATAACAGTAATTTCTTGGTATTCATTTTCCTTTAGGCACTTTTCCCTATCTCTTGGGCCTTTAAGAACAGGATTTCTTTGTTATATGTCAACTCAAGGTTTAAGCAGTTGACAAACACCTAACAGTTTTTCAAAATGATTGTGCTGCTAGATGATGTTATCAAATGAAAGATTTCCAATTTCTTCATGCCTTCACAAACACTTCATACACATCTTTTTTATAATTTTTTGAGATTATAATATAATTACATATTTGCCCTTCCCTTTTCTCAATCTAAATCCTTCCTTTTACTCTCCTCATTGCTCACTTTCAAATTTTCTTCCTTTGTTTTTACATATGTGTATATGTATACACATATACATACATATGCATACACCCATATGCTTTAAATACATAATACAACCTGGTTTTTTTTCCCTTTGCTCTTTGTTCTTTGGGGGGCCACCATCCACCTCCCAAATAATACGTGGAGAGTTATTCCTACTTATGAATGTCCGACCTTAACTTGGCTTATTTCGAACCAGCTTATCTTAAATTATCTCGTCTACCTTTTGCCTCTGAGCTTTTAACTTTTTCTAGTCTATATTCTTTCTGACATTAATTCTTCTATCCCAAGAACACATAGTATATATATATATATATATATATATATATATATATATATATATATATATATAAACATTTTGCGATCTCTTTAGACAACATTTTATGTTATCAGTGCCTAAGTATCACACTTCTTTTGTCAAAAATATTTAAAATAATTTATTTTTTATAAAATCAAATGGAATTGTTTATTTAATTCCAATTTCAAATTTTTCCTTTTATTGTTCATAAATACAACGGATTTATGCCTATTGATCTTGTCTCTTGTAACCTTGTTAAATCTACTCTGTGACGTTTTTATGACTTTCTTAGTACTTGCTACCTATAAGAGCATGTCAAATAGAAGTAGAGAATGTTTTATGGGTGTTGCTTACATCTCTTCCTTTTCTAATTAGCATTGCTAGAATTTCCTTTACAAGATACAGTAAGTATATTGTTAGCCAGAATCTTTCTCTGTTTTCTTGTTTCTAGAAGGAATATTCTTTGAACATTATATGAGGTTGAATATCAAATTT